GTCTAAAAGGAAAGCTCAAGACGACGAAGAGAGAGAGAGCCCGCCCTTTACGGGCAAGTCGGCAAATGAGATGCGAGGTTTTTCCAGCGTACTTTCGAGAAGTTCTCGCAAAATGTAAACGAGAAATCTATCTCGTCATCGCGTGCGCTTGCAAAGAACAGCTCGAAGGCTAATTATGCTCTCACGCGAATAGGTAGAAAAGAGAGAGAGCTTTTCGTAAAGTATATCCTATATAGGCTGTCTAGCAAAGGAGATCAAGCGAAAATGTAGTCTTCCAGAGAGAGAAAGTGTGTGTGTGTGTGTGTGTGTTCTGCTCGTAAAAGCAGCGCGTCGATATTGCCTGCGTGTACAAAGAGCAAAGTGTAGCGACAAGATATTGCGCGTGTCTTTTATGTCGCATGCGAAAGCTTCTCTTTTCCTTTATATTTTGTTCCCTTAAATCTCGAGTTCTTTTGACTGAATTAACGGAGCAAAAGTTTTCCCGAGTTTTTAAGCTAGTTACGGCTGCTGGGCGAAGCATCATTACCGAGAATTCTGGTCGTTAACAGTTCAACCAACTTTCAGTCGAATATTTTCATTGGGTAAACACAGCCTGCGCGTATCCATTTCTTTCCGTATTTTCGTGATTAATAAGACCATTAAAATGTCGAAACAGCGTCGGATATGAGCGTCTCTATTGACGTGAGCCCGCGGCTCGCAGCAGCGGCGGGCTCATTCCTCGCTGCTTTATCGATTTTTAAACAGCGCTTTTCACTTTCCCCGGGCAAAAGCACCGGCTGCCCCCATATCGTTTGGAAAACACAGCAACATGCAACGTCGCCTGGCGTGTATCAGCTGCGTGCGCACACGGCCATGAATGAGTTATGAAACACGCGAGTTTAGAATTTTAAAAGCCTTTTAGCATCCGCACTCCATTTTCCGCGTACTCATGGAATATAACATCAAAATCGAAAAGCACTGGTTGTTTATTTTCCGTGTCCTCGGAATATTTGTTGAACGCCACAGGGGCGACTTTCAAGAATAAAACAGATCTACCTCGAGAAGACCAGCCACTCGACAAGAAGTGCCGTGCTCCGTTCGAGTGTAAACCGAGCAAATAACGTTTGTTAAGAGAGATCCGTTAGCCTCTGTCACTCGATGAAGAAGAGAAACGCTAGACTGTGTGGCTTGCGTCGCTTAAAAATACAAGCTTAATATACTGGCCGGTTTTGCGGGAGGCTAACATCCATTTTCCCGTCTGTCGTTCCTTTGATGACCTTGACTGTGCTTTTTGTTATATTTCTGTTGGTGCCTCGTTTAGAAATCTGCAAATAAAGAAATGCGCGCAAACCTCTGCAAAGAAAGGTGCCTCTGAAAAATGTTAGCAAACTTAAATTTTGTTAGAAAATTACGAGGATAATCATGAAATCATATTTTGCAACCAGCATTTGAGACTTGATAAACAGATAAAAACAAATTACTTCTCGAGGGTGAGCGCAGAGGAGAAAATTGACAAACATAACGAACTTTTCCCACTGAAGTGTCTCATCACAAGTGAAATTGCGGCAGCTAAAAGAGAAGAAGAAAAATTGAGGAGACTCATCTAACGTTTCGCCCGAAGTCTAATCTGAATTAAAGAGCTGAGAGTCGAGAACGAAACTTTCGAGTGCGAGAGCTCGAGTCAAGATGTACGTAAAGACACGTTGCTGGAGATACAATGTGTATAATGCCGATGGACGCGTGGCATAACTGGAACATTTCGCTACGCTACTGCCGCTGCTGCTGCCTAGCAACAGGTTGGCTGCTGCGCCAAACTTCTTTCACGTTTGATCGCGATCTTTTGCCGGAGCTTCAGTTTTCACAGTTGAAAAATTAAACAAATATTTTAGGGCGGTCTGTTTATTCAACTATCGTAAGAATTTATATAAATTTAAAATCGGTTTTTGTGCAATCGTTTTAAAATTATGTTTTGTTTTTTGTCGGCTTGTGTGAGTTGCGCCCCCGTTTCAAACATTCGAATAATTTTTATCAAAAGAAAGTTTACCTGCGAGCGCGCGCATAATATTTTATTAGGTTCGAATGTATATCGCAAAATGCATCGTATACGTTTACGAAAAAATAATGAAAAAGGAAAATTGACACTCACGAGAATATATGGAGTGAAATAAATCCGCTGTGAAAATCGAGGATTTGGTTACAACATAGAAACAGATAAATATGGTTACGAGGAAAAAAATACTCTTTTTATTAGAAGTTATTTGTGTTTTGGAACATTGCTTGCTTTATAAATTCAATATTTCCAACATTATCCGCGTATTTTGGTCCACCGTCTGTCCAAATTCTATGTGCATTGAACGTAAAACGAATAATGAGCAATTAGCGACGAATATTGAATTCTACTTTCGATTGAACGAATCTCGTTGCGGTCTACTCTTTTACTGTAGTCCAATATAAGCGAAATTCAACCATTAATATTCGAGCAGAAATGTTAAACTTTTTCGAGGCGTTTCGACATGTCAACGGCGAATTGGATACATATAGGACGAAAATGTAAATCCAAGCATTCGATATATCCGCAATATACACAATTACGACCGTACATCCTCGTGCAAAATGTTCTTATTAGGGGAGTAGAGCGCGTAATTCAGCCAACACGTCCTGATTAAAGCCCTCTCTATAGCTCTTGCTCCTATTTTCTCTGAGCCCGATTCGTTAAAACTGTATTGCGAGCCAAAAATGAAACTCGTTTGCCGGAGCTTGCGGCTCCAATTAACCGATTCAAATCCCTCATTATGCGATCGATACGCGTGATTTTACCGGGATGAATCATTTATTGAGGGATTAAATGCGACAGCTTACCTTATTTATCGATCGACAATACGCTGATAGAAATGAAACATGTTAAGATAGACCGCATAATCTATGAGCTCCTCGCAAGCTTTTCACCGGACTGCTCTCTATTCTACTCAGCTACGCTAATTCCATCGTTATTATTACATCCAAAACAGCATTGATAAAAGTATTTATACATTCTATTGGTATACACTTACCGTATAGCAACAGCAGGCGTCAGCTGAATGACAAATGGAACGAGACGTATGTGTATGTGTGCAGATGTATACAGCTCGCGACGCACGCAAATGCACAACGCTGAATACTCAAGAAGCAGAAAGTGTGCCCATTAGCACGCATCAACAAGAACAAATTGACCTCATCTATCACAGTACTGAAAATCCAAAGCGCGCCACGTACACGTCATATGCATCGCTCGCAAATTCCTCGGGCGATCGTTTCTGGTTGTGGCGTTTCACCGCCGTGCTTGCGGGATTGCTAACGAGGATGAGTCGATAATTTCCTACGAAGCGGAACACCAAACTCAACTCTGCACTTTTGTCGTTATAATTGTGATAACGAAATCGCACTCCCATCGCAAGATGCGTCGATAATTATTTTATAGCCTAGAAAGAAACGAAAAACTGTATCACGCAATCTCATTCGATCCCGGTAATTCGAATCCCTTTCACCAGTGTCGGCTATTCAACGATCTCTATATAATGTGATTCGATGGCCGTAAATGCCTTAATCAACCGCCAGCCATACGTGTCCAAGCTCGGACGAGAGTGATTTGCTGTACGTTTCGCGCGCAAACTTATGCCATAGCCGTGATTGTAGAGGGACGCGTATTTAGCCGTAGCCGTATGAAAATCAAGTTTCTGAAAACTCTCTCAAATAAGCGCGACGGCACGCCGCTGGCATTAAAATCAACCTCGAGTTTTACAACTTTGGCGTTCTCAACATTGTGAGGCACTTGGCGATTGTAAAGGCACATTTTTCGCCAAAATTGGAAAGAAATTTACGTCAAATTCGTGTTATCGATCGCCCAGAGCGGAAACTGATAGGGATAAAAGTTTTATTGAAATTGACTTTTGCATGATCAAATAATTGAAGTTTTTACGAGTTTGAAAATAGTCTGGATTGTAGGTCATTGAATAAATTACGATAGGATTCTTTTCATTTTGAATGTCGACATTCAACGCACATCATCAATCACGAGAAACATTGGCTTGTCATTGGCGAGACCAGGAGAGAAACTTGCTGAAAGTGACTAAATTAACAGCTAATCGTAGCGCGCGCGCGACCATATTACAAAGTCAAATATCGAGAGAGAGAGAGAGAGAGAGAGAGCGAGAACGTCAAATGCTCGCGTCTCGTTATTTTTACATTCTACATCGATTCTATATCCTAACACGGAAATTGCTACCGCTGAGGATCGATTATGATGTGTTTTCGTGCTTTTGCTATGCGCGGAGAATGTGCGATGAATTGATTTTGGTTTCTCGAGTTTCTTTAGCAGGATCTCAGTCAACTTTATTCCATTCTTTTATTTTTCAAATTTTTCCATTTTTTTTTCGCTCAATTAAGCGCGGTTCACTCTACGAACCATGATACTTATACGTAATAATCAATAAAATTCAGCATACACAATGCACAAGACTATACGTGAAAGATTCAACCGTGCCCATGTATTCGAACCTGATAATTTTAGTAAAGCTAGATTTGGTGGCAGATATTTTGTTGACTCAATCGTTCGGCAATGTATTGGCCACGCTATAATATTTCATGGCTTCCTCTTTGCGATTTAGCTTTAATGGGGAAAATTGGTAATCGAACTCGTTCCCCGGTTTCTAGCTGGTGAGTCTCGCGCATATCGCAAAACGAATTATAAAATCGCGAGCAAACGCTACACACGCATTCGTGCGTCGTACTTAGAGGCACTGTACTAGATCGTTTGTTTTTTCGCTTGCATACGTGAATCAGAATACATTAATTAGCTTGATCATTTGAAGTGGCGTTGATCAGAAAAGTCAGTGGTAATTGGAGTCACGCAACTGCTTTGAATCGTTCATAATAACATCTTAATCATTCAAACATTACTTGACGACATTGCCATCGTCCATCGCTGATTTGTCTGATACAGATAAAAAATACAACATAAGGTACGTTTGTTCTGTTTCCGCAGGATGCTGGGTAGCGTGGGGGGTCGGCACGTGTCTACGCGCCGCAGGGGCAGCAGCCCCATGGTGCGTGCTGGTGCGGGCCTCGTGGTTGCTAATTCGCTGGGCGACAATGACACGCCGCTTGGCTCGTCGCCGAGATACGCACGCAGAAGAACCGCCGTCACTACCAGCGACCACAAGAACTGCGCCCTCGTGCAAACCAGACTCAAGCTCGGCGACATCATGTGAGTATAACGCTGAAGCGTGCATTTATACTCCCGCTACGACGTCAACGAGTATGCTATATCCTTCGAACGTTTCCCTCTGTCGGAAGAGAACTCCGAGCTTTTGGCGGGCGCGCTACCCAACTAGCTGTTGCCGTATGCTTTCGGTAGGCAAGTGAAAGCTCGAGATTGCCGAGCCTCGGCTCGACCGTCGGTAAAGCAGTGAGGTGGTGACAGATGTCGCTGAAACTGCGATTCTTGCCTGACCATCTGCGGAGTTGCACTCCTGCAGCGCAGTGTGAGGGACCACTGTTTTTTATTCGCGATCGATTGTTTCTTTCGATCCCGACATCAATCCCTTGCCTTCCCTTGTAAGAATAGCCGGAGATGAGCCGAAGACGTATGCGTCGAGCGCATAGTTATGCGAATCCACAAACATACCCACCACACGCATGCATGCACACACAATCTCTCTCTCTCTCTCTCCATCTTTCTCTTCTGATGAGGAAGGAAGAGGGGGAGAGAGCCGCCGCCACCACCGTTGTGAATCAATACCCGCATTGCGCGTGCCACCTCTCCCTCTCTCGCTCTCGCTCGACTTTTGTCCCTCTCGTAAGCTTTTTTTTCTTCTTCTTCTTCTTCATCTTACTACTACTACTATTACGAGGACGGAATTTTCTTCTTTTAATAAGAACTGGACGATGAAAAAGCGATTTCGCACGTATAATATAAACGTGACAATTGTACGCGTAGAGAATAATTATCGATGCGTCTGTCGATATACTCGTCCAAATCGAGCGAACAAAAGACGAGTTCTATTCTTGCTGTCTATTATTTTTTTCTTCGTTCATTTATTCCTTGATAGGTCCTTTCACGCTTGGCAAATCGAGCAGTGAAAAAAGAAAGAAGGAAAGATGAATTTCAAAGCTGTCGATATGGCGTTACTCGCTAGTAATTGTGCTATTTCTTTCGTTCTTTCTTCGATCAAATGAAAAAGACGCGAATAAATATATTTCCGGGAAAACCGATTCCAATGTTAGACTAGCGGCAAGACAACCCTGCAGGCCTACACGTATTTTGACAATAAAATTGTGTCTTCTACACTCTCGTAGGCGTAGGCGTGTGAGCCTGCACGCCTGTACATATTTTGGCAATAAAATCGCGCCTTTTGCATTCTCGTCCATTTGCCTATATTTTTGCGTACGCGATCGATTGTTTTCGAAACCAAATCTGAAAAATCCTATGCGGTTTTCACCATGTGCGGGCACGCAAACATAAAACACACCAAGTTGGCTTGAAAATACCGTCACTTTCGCTGGATATCAACTCTATTGAAAGTTAACACTATACATGTATTATATTCAACACTCGAAAATTTAATTTAATTGACACATCTATCATCGAGTCAAAAGAAATATGAACAGCTTTCCATAAAAAGTTTCCAATGATCCCCGAAAGAGGAGAGAAACCTTATTCGCGTGATCCGGTGTAAGGAGACACTAAATCCCGAGAGCGCGAGAAAAAAAAAGAGTGCACGCGCACCAGTTACTCGCCCACCCCTTTCTCTCTTATTAAGCCAACCAATTGACGCACGCATACACACACACACACCCATACAAATTTAGGTTATTGCGCTTTTACCACTGTCCGACCTGTTTTTCTTTCAATACACTGAAGCGAAAGGGCCAGGGATATACTGCGCTCTTCTGTTCTGCGTCCGCACCGAACTGATTTTCCAAATCGCTCATAAACAGTTCGTATGCTTTGTCTGACATTTCATTCTTGCATTCATTGTTTGTAGTATATTGTTCACATAATTCAGAAAGACAAGCGACAATTTTCTCTATAAAATAGAAGAGCTCGTCGTCTGTCAATCTCAAATGTTGCTCCACTGATTTCCAGTAAATTGCTATGTTGTAAGAAGAGAGAGGGAGAGAGAGAGAGAGAGTGAGACAAAACTATCATTATCGGTGACAGAGTGCTCCGATTCTATTCCGAATGCAGACGCGCGATGCAACGCACCAACTCCAACTGGACGTAACGCGTGGCTATTAGCGATATGTCCAGCAATTCGTGGAAAGCTCGGGCAGCCTTGATTTTTGTTTCAAAAAAGAAAAAAAAAACTAGCAGGAGAGAGCGCTTCAAGTAATCAGGTAAACGCAGAAAGAGAGCAAGTGCGCGTGAACGGGTGGTGATCGTATGTGGGCGAATCGTTGACTTACGAAGCCTTATGTCGACCGACTGTACAGACGCGCGCGCGCGCACTTGCAGACTCGCTTCAATAGCCAGCCACGCACACACGGTGTGCATTGAAATTCGCAACCTATTTTTCCTCCACTCTGACCTCTATTATGGCGAATGGAAATCGCATTACAAGAGAGAGAGAGAGACCCTTTCTTTGCTCTTTTACTTTTTTCGTTGCCGCGCTCTCGATAAAGAAAAAATGCTTCTAACGCGCGACGACCTATAAATTGATTTGATCGTTAGTCGAAGAGAGCTCAAAAGTCAGGCCTTTGTTGTCACGTGCAATTTGTGTTTTCTCTCTCTCTCTCTCGTTTGCGCTCTTCCCTTTATTTTATCGATAGGCTTTTTGACGCTCGATCATTGTTTGATGCAGATTTGATTGAAAATTCGTTTTCCGCTGCTTTTCCTAACGTCGTCGTTTTTGCGATGAAATTTTGTTATTAGAAGTCCGAGAAGCTAACCGTCCTCTCGAGACACGGACCTGTAATCTTTCAATTAGGAGAAGTAGTTGTGCAACGTGCGTTGTGTAATAAGAATATTCTCTTTTTTATTTTTATCTTTGTTTATTGAAGATTCAAGATACAATTTAGAAATGGACGACAGAGAATATTATTGATTGAAGAGTAAAGTGAGCGGTGGTCGGTTGCCGACTAAATAGCGCGTCGTAGCGCAGTTGAAACGATGCATTATCAAATAAATTAAATAGCGTTGTAATGATGAGTTTTACTAATAAGAATTCCCTCTATTTTACAACTGAATAAATGCAGTAATAACGCTTGTCATTACCGAATGAATAAATGCGCAATCAAAAACTATCCTCCTCGAGCGTGGAGACGTATAAAAGCTGCGAGAGAAGAGCCATTCGATAATTGATAGAAGAGAAAATCAATTGGCATGCTCTTATTCCGCCAAAATAAATCTGAAAAGTGGAGCATTATTTTTGATGAAGGAAAAAGGAGCTTCTATTTTAGCGCGAACGTCGTTGGTGCGGCATGTGACATAAATTTAGATCATAATATTGACAGTTTTTCCCCGGATTTCCCTAAAGCAAAAAGTCCCTTACGTCAGCACGTTTTGTCAATGTCAGGTGGTACACGGCACTTCTCTCTCGCGAATCATCGAAAAAGGAGAAATGCAAAACTCGATCAAACACTTGCGGAGAGGGGCTTGACGGCCGTTCAGCTATAATAATACACACGGCCATGCGCCTCTCTCTCTCTCTCACTCACTTACCTACGTGACGCAAAAGAAGAAGGGCCTTTGATCGGCCGATCGAGTTGATTCGATTAGGCCGTGTATTAGTAGTGAGTTTATATCGATCCGAGAAAATCGGTGCGTATCACATCGCATGGCTTTGACCCGGATCAATAAAGAAATCCAATTTGTTTCGAATCCGCTCTCCCTGTAATATCACGCGTCAAACTGGGTCAACTACGTTTTTCAACGTAGCTTTTGGCTAAAATTCTCTTTTTAGTATATTTTTCTCTCCAGCGAGTCCCTCGAGCTTTTAGCGATATGGACGTGGTCAAAACAAAAGGAACGCATCGACGTCATTCTAATGATTCTTCCACTATCGTTTTCCTCCGTGGGTTCAAGCCTTTTTTCTTACTCAGAGTGATGACTCGAGGCTTTCTTTTCGGTCTTCCGGATACTTCCGCTCGTTGTTCGCAATTGCAGCGTGCCTCTCACTGCCGGCTGCCGTTTTCAAGACTCACGACAGGGAAAAGTATTTCTCGGTTAAAAATAGTCATAACTTGCGAATCGGTAAATGCTGCAAAGTATGAAATATTTCCACGGCATTTTTGATACTTTGCGTTTTCTTTCGCATAACTTTCTACGGATAAAACTTTCATTCGTTGGGAAATTATTTAATACGTAAGTTTGATGTTATTGCAAAAGTTTAAGTATTCTCGGCGAAAACGGAGGTTAGCGCGAGTAAACGGGATTCGTTGATAAGGGTAAAAGAGAAATCCGCGGTCCGAGATTGAGCATAGCAAAGGTAGCGCGCAGATAATCGTCAAGTGATTAAGCTGCAAGCTTCGCAGGCACTCGCTCACAGTGAAAGCGAGGGTAGAAGCATCACAGCTGCTTCCAACGCTCGAAGAGAGAAAGCAGCAGGGAAAGAAAACAAATGGTCTTTTGTAGCCGAGCTATTTAGGCGGATGAGACTGCGCGCTGCAACGAACTTTTTCTTGCCGCCCCCGTTGTTTCGTCCGTCCCTGTTCCCGTCGCCAGTGAGCAATAAGCTCTCGGAGCTCTGTCGGTGCTTAGTACAATTGCTCGCGCGCAGCTGCTGTGCGCCAAGCGCTTCTGGCGTGCGTGCGCGCGCGCGCGACCGGCAAACTCTCGCTTTCCCTTCCACGCGCCGCGGCGCGAGAAAAGAAGGAAACGTGTACACCGCTCGAGGCTTTCAAGCGTAGTCATTGTTGGCAAAGCATAACGCGAAGGCAGCTTGGATAACTCATCTGCGCGAAAGGGGAAAAGAATGCATTGGCTTGTTTCTTTTACCAGGCCATCTAACATATACGTGTACTTGGAGGAGACTGCAAATTTTCGTTGGTCAGTTTGCGATCTATGGGATGCCAATTGTACGCTCAAGCCCCCTAGAAATCTACGACGATATTATTTATCGAGTATATAAATGTCAAGAAATTTCATAGAAGGATGTGAACAGCAGAATTTTCTTTCGATCGATTGAAAAACACAAATAACATTCGATGTACTTGCGATCCTTTCAACTTTATCGGACGAGCTTCGATCGAAATAGAAAGAAAAAC